ACAATAAATAAGATTTATATTCCGCTTTTACTCAAAACTCACTTTAAACCACCATCGAGTGTTTGTGATAACTTCCGATTGCCGTGTGTGTTTTGGCCATGTATTGTTGCTGAAATTAATATTATTACCTCTGAGTCAGAGCAGCGATCATGGAAGAGAGAGCACAGGCAGGCAGCGCTGGAAGCTGCTAATGCTCATCAGTAAATCGGTGGAAAATAAATAGAAATCATGATTCTGTCTGAGCTATGAGTTTTAAAACGAACGCGCACTAGTGTAAATGTAGCCTAACAGATGTGTAAACTGAAGACTATTTGAGCTTTATTAAAACTATTTGCACTGATTTAAGGGGGTCTGAATACTTTCCGTACCCACTGTACATACATACACACACATATATACATTCTTTTTCATATAGACATCTTTCGACATTCTATTCCTGTTCATTCTAAACTACAGAATAATTAAGAATAGGGAAACTTTTGACATTCAGTCTGTGTTCGTTCTAAAATGCAGGCCAGATGACATGAATGGGATAATAATTCAAACTGATTTGCCTCATAACTGCATTCACTGTGGAAGAGAATGAATTGACACCAGAAATCACAGATGACATCAAGTCTCAGTGGGATAAAGAAAATAATTTTTCTCTCTCGTCTTAATGGATCCAGCATAGTTGATAGTTAAAGAGTAGATTCTGTTTTATCTGACACCTTATGAGAAATATGGCTTTTTAGCATAATGGATATAGACTCCTTTGTTCATGTACAAAGACCCTTTGAACAAACAGAAAAAGATAAGAATTAATTAAGATCACCAGAAGATATTTACAGTCACAATTAAAAGTTAAAGATCAACTGACAGCCTCCAGTAAGGCCAAGTGTGTTCTTGAAGCCCTAGTACAGTAAACCCCCGCTGTCGTACTCCAGCTTTAGGAGGGCAACGCTTGCTAACTCAGCTGCTCTCGTTTACAAGAGTTCGCTTATGTCCTAATAAAGAGTTAAAGTAGCTCCCAGCACATTAGATCACAGCTAGTGGTGTTATCCTAGAGTGCCACATGGAAAAATGGAGGAGATGCCTCCTGCAGCATCTTTTGATCCCAATGCTGTTTATTATTAGCATGCTGTTGCCTGCTAATTGTTTATACTTCCAGGGAAAGAAAACCACCTTCACCCATCAAAGACATGGTCGTTAATCCTAACACAAGTTTTCTTTAAGGAGAGCAGTGGGACCTATTTTCTAAACCGAGAAAGAACAGGAAAAAAAAAAGAAGGGAAATCCTGTTACACTGTTCCTGTTGAGATACACTGCATTGAAGCCTTTTATATCCTTGTATAGAAAGGTAATTGGATTCATAGATGGTTTTAGCATGCCCAATTTGTTTATCAAAAATGTCAGAGTAAGCGGATTTCATGTTGCCATGTACTGTCAGTTCAATTGGTTTATTTTGTCCTACAAATGCTTTCATTCTGACAGCATGTGCGATTTTTACGTTAAAAAATACTATGTATGTTATCATGCAAAATTATGCTTTTATGTAAACCCTTACTCTTTTAAGTAGACTTCCATGTAGACTTTTGCTCTGGGAGAGGAATGGATGTGATATTTAGCACTCTGAAATATAATGAGGCCATGTGGTAATTATGTAAAACCAAAGAGTTGAACCAATGCTCAAGGTACTCCAAATGTTTCTTTGTGTCATCGTTTTAGAAGATGCCATGTATGCATTCAATTTCTCCTCCACAGCAGTCTACAGCCTCCTGAGTTTTTATTGTGCAGAGCGAGGTTGGCAAGGCTAACCCACAAAGTCGTGTTTTACGAGCGAAGAATTGAAATGAGATTGAGTTGAGGTGAACACAAACACACACACACACACACGTTTGCTTTTTACCATAGTGGAAAAAGCATTTGTTGTTATACTGAGCTAATGATATTTTGTGTCCCTTAATCCTGGACCTGAAAATGTTTGGCATTTTTACAATTTCAATAAGATATATTCAGTACGTTTATTAATCCGCTTTCCTTCTGAGGCCTGGTAAAACCTGACTAGAGGTTATTAAGAAGGTTATGATTTACACACAAATGCTATAATTCTTTCTTGTATCAAATCTCTCCTTTCTTTCTTTCTCTTTCTTTCTTTCTCTTTCTTTCTTTCTTTCTTTCTCTCTTTCTCTCTTTCTTTCTTTCTTTCTTTCTTTCTTTCTTTCTTTCTGAGGCCAAAGGGTTAGGCAGGTTTGCCATTTGTGTGCTATCCTCACTTTACCATTTGTGAAAGACAGCCCCTCAGGAGAATGAGGGCATGCATGGAGACGCTGTGGACCTGGAAACCTGCGAGGGACACACGGCACGTCTGAGTGTGAGGGGAAGCCCTGTGCTTTTTGAAGTGGAACTTTAAAGACAGTGTTTACTCTTCTGGGAGCTGGGCCACACAAGAATGCGTGTGTCATGACGGGATGTAGGAGCTGAGGAATGTTCCTCACAATCCCCACACTGTAGACCAGATCCAGCCAGAGAGCAAGATGTTTGAAATATTTATTTTAGCATCAGCGTTTAAAAAAGACATTGGTTTATAGCCTGTTGGATCATGAAGAGCCCTTGTGGATTGCTTTCTGTTGTTCTTGGCTGGCGTCCACTTGCACTGTGAAAAAACTTGCAGGATGCTAGTACAATTTTTTTCTGTTAGTATGGTGTTGTTGCCAAATGATGAAGATAAGGCTTGCACAATGATGAAGATAAGGCGCTCTCTTAAGACTAACCATTTTGTTTTGCAGAGCCTGAATTGGATGCACCAAGAGTGCTGGACAATATTGCTAAACAAGTCAACCAGACAGTCAGGAGGCGGAGACACGCTGGTGGTGATGATGACTACAACATTGAGGTGCTGCTTGGGGTAGATGATACTGTTGTCCGTTTCCATGGGAAAGAGCATGTGCAAAACTATCTCCTCACCCTGATGAATATTGTGAGTATCCCATCATCCTTAGCAGGACTTAGTAGAAACATTTATTATTCTCTCCCTATGTCTATATCTATCTCTCTCTCTCTCTCTCTCTCT